GATCTAAACCAAAGAATATAAGAATTTACCATTTCAATTACTGCAAATATAATTTATATAACTTAATAGNGCAATTTTAAAAGATAAGCAGGCTAGTAACAGTGAAATTGTCAAGTTTTAAGTCATTTAAGATGTTAAATTGTCAGATAGAAAATTGGCAACTAATGCTGGTCCTTCAGTAGAAGAATCACATGATCATCTTCCAATAAAGCCAGTTTTTTTTCCACCAACAGCAAGAATTTTTTTCAGACTGGTTCTTGGAAGAATAAATGGTGGTAATCGAGAAGGTAAGAGGCAATTTCCAAATTGAATTAGGTCAGGAAAAGGCACAGCAAACCACTAGCCGTGATTAAGCAAATGCACTCCTCACAACAGCTGCCTCCTTTAAATCCAATGACAAGTCAGTGAGGCCAAACAGCATTCCCAAGGTGTGGGCCTGCATCCAACTCTTTTCCAGCTTCTATTTTTTATTTAGAAATGCGATTGTTTCAAAGGTGGAAATCCAAGCCTTAGAGCACACATTAAATTTGGCTGCAAGTATGGTGAACTCATGCCACGCATGCATGTAAGGAACTGTTTTCCTAATCAGTCTTGTAGCAATGCTTTTGTGAAACGCTAATGAATTCAGGAATAGCCCCTGCCATTCAGAATGATTTGAATGAAAACAAAAGCAAAATTGAGATCAAAATTGATACCATTGTTTCACAGGCAAGCAATACAAAAACACTCCTTAAATAATATGTTCATGACCTCAGAAAATCGCAGGTCAATTAGAAGTATAGAAGTTGTATGAAATGTGTACAAAAACAATGGGTTTGCAGAAAACACACATTCCCCTGTTTGGGCCAAATTATAAGACATCTTACTGTGATGGAAGAGTGGTGGGGGTCGGGGTAATTCTTCCTCTCTATGTCACTTTTTAAGAGCACATCTGTCCAGGACATTAACCTCTAATAATACTTCAACAATAAGGCCAACAACATGACTTAACTGCCTTGATACTCTAAGCAAACTAGATTCAGAGAAATATTGTCATCACCTCATAAATTTGTGTGTACTTCTAAGGTGTATGAAATGCACCTTCATTAACCAGTAGACCACTAGTTTCTAAAATGTTTGAGACAAACTTAATTACTGGTAACCTCATGGATGACAACATGCTGTTTGAATAGTAACAACATATTAATTATTGGCTATTTGCTATTTCCAATATGTTTTGCAACTTCCAAACCTCCTAGGCCTAGTATTTTCTCATCGTGCTAAGATCATGCCATAGCCCTAATAGAGAAAAAGATGCAAAGGAAGTCTTTGTTGAAATCTATCTATCTATCTATCTATCTATCTATCTATCTATCTATCTATCTATCTATCTATCTATCTATCTATCTATCTATCTATCTATCTAT